CAGAGGCTTCATTGGTGGATAGTAATAATTTTACGTTCACGTTGTCTGCATAGAGGTCGTGCTGTGCGCTGGCCAGTAATCTCCACTGCCCTTCAGAAACTCCATAAATGTGTGACCAAAACACTCCAGAACTGAGAATATGGTTTACTCATGAAGATTGTGGTCCTAATCGTACAAGCCACATCTCCGAGGCGGCGGCGACACAGGCCGGGCGCGGTGGTGTAGCTGCAGAGGCAGGGGCCGTGGTCGTCGCTGGGGCAGCGATCAGGCACCAGTCTCCAAGAGCAACCATTTTAGGCAGACTGCAGTGTTCTATTTCACAGGCTCCTCATCCCTTGGTCACGTTGGATTCGTCCTCTCCCCTCTTGATTTAGTTAGTTTGTACCAGAAACGTCTTATTATTCAGAGAACATTTATAGACCGTGTCCTAAATTCCCACAAACTTTTACCCTAAACTATTTACTGAACAAACCTAAGTTGAGAGGACTTCAGCATACATTATTTTTGCTAACGAAACTATTGCTGACGCTAATGACAACAATCTTGCTATGGCCGAATCAACAACTCTCTGGATATTAAAATATTATCCAACCGATTACTATTTGCAGGCTTGACAAATGAGGAAGGTAAACACTTGTCTCACAAGCAGATAAATAAGACAAATTACAGGAAGTCAGGGTTAAATCTAATTAGTAGGCAAATACAAAATTAGAAAATGACAAAAGAAACTAATTTAGAGAAGCACAAAGGAAAAAACGGCTGCTTATACATGAGAAAACATAGACAGGTACACACCAGGTACTAGAGTGACAATAGACAAGTGCACTGCCCAAGTACATACGGCTTTTAAAAATCCCATAGAGAATATATGGATGATCATCAAAAACAATGCCCTGCTGTTCTGAGAAGAAAGGGTCCCACACGAACGGGGAGGCAATTATACAAGGATTCAATGGAGCTTACAGCTGTGGCTAGGCGACCAAACTATGCGTTGCTCACCCAAAACCAGCTTGTCATCTCATAAGTAACTAAGGGCAAGTAGCAACAATTTTCATAACTGGCAGTGGCAATATGGCTCTAGCGGGAAAAAATGAAATGTCCCAATTCAAGAATAAGTCAACATTTGTGATGGAGCCCTTACACTGCTCTTCCCTGCTCAGATTTGCCAATGAACATACATTTTCAATAGAGGCCCTTTGTGCCCGAGCATTAGCAACTCCTAATTGTAGAAATGTTTGTTATTGCTGATAATGGGTTAGCTAAATAAAAAAAGAAAAAAAAAAAAAAAGAAGAAATGTTGGGACACAGAGATGGAGATAGCAGGGAAACCTTTTAAATGGCATTACTCCACTGTACCTAAAGTCGCACACAGATAGTGGAGTCAGTGCTGTTTGTCAGCCCAACTTTAACAGGAAAGGGGTAGCGTCACAGCTTCCAGGGTGTGATTGTTTCCAACAAGTATAATCTTAGCAGTGGGTTCCCACCAGCCTGCCAGAGCCCAGGCCCAGCTAATTCCAGGAGTCCAACTACTGTTTCCCATCTTCATACCCTCCTAATCTCAGAAATAAAGACAAAAAAAAAACACCCACACAGCGCATGAGCGCATGTGCACACACCAACACACAGCACACACAACACACACACACACACACACACAGAGTTAACCTAATAAACAGAAGAGAGGTCTCTAAGAGAAAATGAGTTTATGTGGGAGTCAGGGGCATTGCAATGGGAATACACGTGCCATAGTAAACTATGTGCACAGTCAGAGAGATAAAAGACAAAGGTTTTTAAAAGAAAAAATGATGAGGATTACATAATTATTTGAAATAATTATCCTTGGCTACAAGATCAATAACAAAGGTGACATCAGTCTGAGGTCAGACAAGCAGTTGCTGGGCCAGATGTCCTTGCATAAGTGCTTTTTGTGTAAAGTTGCAATGGCTGTTGTGCAAGGTTGTGGTTTTGCAAAGTCTTTTGTGATAGCTTTGTTATCAGGCATACAAGCATGAGAACCCTCTCTTCATAGCCTTCCCCTGCTCTTATTTGTCAGGGTTGTGTTTTTTTTGTAAACACAAGTAACTCCATTGTGTTTCTGACAACTTTCACGGTACACATGCACGCAAAAAGTACCAGTGATCTTGGTGATCTTCTGAATCTCCAATGATAATATTAATACCTACTCTACCATGTTCCAGAATCTCTGATGATAATATCTATCTTACATGTTCCAGAATCTCCTGATGATAATATCTATCTTACCATGTTCCATACTAAAGGCTTTGTGCCCATTACCTCATTTTTTCCTTTGAAGAAACCTATAACAGGTACTTTTATTATCCTCATTTTATAAATGAGGACATGGAGGCACAAACAGTTAAAGTGACTTGCCTGAGATCACAGCCAGTACGTGACAAAGCCAGGACATAACCCCAGGCAATCTGATGATAAGCTTGTGCATTTACCATGTGCTCTGATACCATCTACATTTTGAGAACTAGACCAGTGATTCTAACCATTCTTTCTTCATGAGCTCCTCTGAAAATTGGGTGAATCAACGAATC